TCAAAAGTGTACCAATAAAAGTAATTTTAAAAAATAATGGTTTGTGGATTTCAGTGAAGAGATCTTGCATAACTTTTATTAAATTTATTTTTATTAGTACATGTTTGCAGTATATAACGATGACATTCATCTTGGGGAGTTGGTACATGTATATAGCACATCTTAATTACCTTTAGGTCAAGCATGGTGGCACACACCTATAATCCCATTACTTGGGAGGCTGAGGCAGGAGGATTGTAGAGAGTTTGAGGCCAGCCTAAACTACATAGTGAGACCCTGTCTCAAAAAACAACAAAAATAAATTCTATTTATTTCCCTTTCCCCTTCCTCCATCTAGAAATGATATAAATTTGAAAGGTAAATGAAAGATGACTATATCACATTTATGAGAAGTTCTCATTATATAATTCATGGATGATTTTCTTCATCTTTCTGGGCATAAAAATTGAGTTATCTTTTTGGGACACTTTATTTAATTCCATGGCCCCAAATCTTAGGTTTAACTACATTTTTTAACCTTTACAATATATGCGTATTATAGACTTATTTGGAAAACACAAATAATTAGGTGATGATAAATAAAACAAGCAGCCGGGAATTTAGCTCAGTGGTTCCGCTGCCTGCCTCGAAAGCACAAGGACCCAAGTTCGATCCCCGATACCAAAAAACAAAAATAAAACAAATAAAACACAAGCAGAATATCCTCTCCAAGATCATAGGTGTAACCACTGTTAAATTTTTTGTCTTTTTCCAGAGTCTTAATCTATATTAAATTAATTTCCTGTAAGTAGCTGATTTTTAAATTTATTAGATTACTTCTGTAAAGATGAAGATTTTTAAAATAAAATCTTTAGTGTTAGTTTAGTGACATAATATATTAGTATGGTATATTAGAAGAAAAAAGTCTGTTGGTGAGGATTATGACTGAGTATAATCTTTATAGTTTTTGTTATGCTTTATTTTTCAGTAAAACCATTCAAAACCATTTCCATGTGAAGACAAGTTTCTTTCCAGTAGAGAATGCTTTTGTAATTTCTATGCTGAGCTCTTAAAAGAATAAACTGAGGGATTTTAAATAATGAAAGTTTAATATCCTGTCCACTGAGTAACTTTAATCAGTAATTGTTTTATTTTCCATAGGAATCTTTATTTTCTTATGTTTCATTTCCTTAAGAAATTGTTTGTACTCTGCCAGGTATCTACTAAAGCTGATGATGAATTTTGCAACATTTGGCAATCCTTACAAGGGTCCAGAAAAATTCAGCACTTTCAGCCATCTATACAAGAGAAGGTTAGTATTCTTTGTTTGATAGACAGTTCAAAGAAAAGATTTTTTAAACTGTCTACAATGATTAACTTCCCCTTGAAATCTCAAAATTGTAAACAACCGTTTTAGTTAGGAATTTTCATAATTCCTTTTTTTTTTTTTTTTTTTTTTTGGTATCGGGGATCAAACTTGGGTCCTTGCGCTTGTGAGGCAGGTGGCGGAACCACTGAGCTAAATCCCTGGCCCCATAATTCTTATATATATAATAGTTTTTGGACCTGTGAGTAAGAGTATAATAGTTCTTTTAAATCAGTTTTGGGGGTTTTTTTAGTTGTTTACAAAATCATAACTATATTTTAAACTCAACAAAATCCTTAATGGCATTCATTAACTGCCCCCCCCACTAAAGTATAGTATAATCTAATGCTGACAGTTGGTTTTCCTAAATATGAATGAGCAAATTTATATTCCTTCATAAAGATTAAGAAGAGGAAATAAGGATGGAGATGTAGCTCTTTGGAAGAAAGCTTGCTTTGCATGCCTGAGACCCTGGGTTTGATTCCCAGCACTGTAAAATAAAACAAAAGGAAAGAAATGCTGCTAAAAGAGTAGAAACTCACGCAATGAAATGAAGAGGAAAAAGAATGAATCCTTACTAAATTTTTTGTGAGTTACTGACCTACCTGGTTAGTCAGGTCAAAAAGTAATGCTGGGCTGGGGATTTAGCTCAGTGGTTCTGTCGCCTGCTACGCAAGCGCAAGGACCCGAGTTCAATCCCCGGTACCTAAATAAATAAATGTAATGCTGTATCAACTTTAGAAAGCAACACCCTGCGACATTACAGCTTCATCTACTTTAGTGTCCTGGATAATGGTGGAAGGGAGGAAATTCCAGATGAAATGATGGTGATCATAAAAAGTGATTGTGGGGCTGGGGCTTACTAAGTGACAGACCAATTGTCTAGCATTCAAGAAGCCCTGATTCAATTCCAGAACAATAACAACAAAAAAAAGATGAAAACTGAGAATTAACCCCAAGGTTTAGTACATGAAGATCATTGGGAACCTTGAGCACCAGTTTTAGTAAAATGATCAGAATGAAAGACTGTTTAGAATGGGATTAAGAGAAGAGGAGGAAAAAAATGGGAGGCAGGAAGTACAGACAATTTTTTCAAGGAGTTTTACTCTGAAAGGAAACATTAGCAGCCTGAACATGGCAGATACCTATAGTACCAGCTTTTCCCAGCTCTTCAGGAGGCTGAGACGTGAGGAGGCCTTAGCCCAGGAGTTCAGGGTCAGCCAGGGTAACATAGTGAGACCTAGTCTCAAAATCAGTGAATAGGGGCCGGGGATTTAGCTCAGTGGTTTCGCCGCCTGCTGCGCAAGCGCAAGGACCCGAGTTCAATCCCCGGTACCAAAAAAAAAAAAAAAATCAGTGAATAAATGAAAGAAAGAAAAAAAAGATGATTGACAACCATTCTCTGAATCCTTTCTTCCCTGTACTTATTTATGGTCAACTTTTTTATTATCGACTGCTTATTAACTCCTGTTCTCCCAACCTTTCACTAGGAACTGTTCCCTCAAACTCAGCAACAGTTTTCTTTTCCCTTTTGCCTAATTATTTAAATAATAACTTTGACTCTTTTTTTTTTTTTGGTACTGGGGATTGAACTCGTGTCCTTAGCTTGCGAGACAGGCGGTGGAACTACTGAGCTAAATCCCTGGCCCAACTCTGACTCTTATTGCTCTGTGAAGTATCACTTATCTGTTATCTCTGGTTTCAACTTCTCAGTCCAGGCTTAATCTAGTTATCCCTAACCTGTATCTCTGGTTATGAACTCTCAATACAGTATTTTCAGCTCTCAAGAGAACTAGTACAGCTGGATACCCCTTTATAATAACTTCATCCTCAAGATGCCCCCAAATTGACCTCACATAGAGCCTCTTCTAGTATCCCAATTTCTAACACCACCTTGTCCTCTAATATAAAGAGTTGAGAATCAAATATTTTTTCTTTCACCTATTTTGGCCATAAGGCATAATGGACAAGGTATCTTCTGGGTCTGAACACAGTTTATACTCTGAAATAGTATGGTGTGCTAAGTGTGGTGTTGGGCACAGAATCGGGGCATCAGGTTTCATGCCTTAAGCTGAGCAAATCTCTTTCCCTGAGCCACTGTGATCACATATAATGAAGACACTGAACGTACATGATCACTCAGGTCTTTTTCAGCCCTAAAAATGTGTTGCTCTAATACCCTACAATATATAGGACTGCTTGTTTAATACCATTAGAATTTAACCTCAAACTCCTCAAGCTGATATCTAACCATACCAAATTCATACAAAATGTCCAACTACTTGATAGAATGGCCTGTTCCAGTCAGTTTGACCTCTTTCCCTTTGCCATAGTTAATTTCTCGTTTTGGATTTTGTTCTTCTTGTTCCTTCCACTTAGAATAACCTTTCTTCTCTCACTACTATAATCCTCCTAGGTCTCAGTCAAGAACCACTTAATAATAGTTTCTTTTATCATCTTCTCCATTCAACTCCTATTATTGGGTACTATTTTCAGTATTTATTTCAGCTCAGGACTCCCATGTTTTATCTCTTATGGTCCAAGAATTCTGAACCACCAGATATTTTGTGTGTGTGTGCTAGAATTCAAACCCATGGCCTCACACGTGTTGGCAAGCTCTCTACCACTGAGCTAGATTATTGTTTTTAATTTGGTTTTAGAACAGAGTCTTACTAAGTTGCCCAGGTTAGTCTCCTGAATAGCTGGGATTACAGGCATGCACCACCACACCCTACTAAAATAGACTCTAAATTAGACAAAGAACTTTCATGAATCAATATTTTAGGAGAAAATGACACTAAGACTCATATATACACCTAACAACAGAGTTCTAAAATACATAAAGCAAAAATTGACAGAAATTGAAGGGAAAAACATATAATTCAATAGTAATAGAAACTTTAATATCCCACTTTCAATAATGGATAGAGCAACTATACAGAAAGTCAAGGATACAGAAGATTTATCTGACAAAGACAGCTTTACATTGATATTATAGAGAACAACCCAAAATGAGAGGGAGAGCAAGGGAGGGGGGGAGAGAGGAAAGAAGGGATAAGGGTAAAAAAAGAAAATAGAAGGAAAAAATGGAAACAAAGCTTTTGTAAATAAGGAGGGGAAGAGAGATAGAAGAGGGCATGGGGAAAAAAAGGCAAGATATATCATGTACAGGTACAAATTCCTTAGGATGAATGTTATTACATATATCTAAAATACACCAATAAAGATTTTGCTTCAAAAAAAATAGAATAACCCATAGGACTACATTCAAAACTACAATATTTGCTCTATTTAAACTGATGGCACAACTTTTCTCTGATGTGATACTGTGAACAGGGGTTTTAGAGTTAAAAGTCAAATGTCAGTAATTAGTCTGTGACCAAATTACTTTATCACTTTGAGCACCAGTTAATTCACCCTAAAATGGAATTAAAATAACACCATTATTATGATGTAATAACTGTTGCTGTAATGATACTGAGGTAATGGAAGCAAAATACATCTTACCATGCCTGGTGCCTGGTACGTAATAGACATAATTTTTTTTTTTTTTTTTTGAGGTATTGGGGAACTAACTCAGGACCTTGTGCTTGCCAGGCAGCTGCGGCGCCACTGAGCTACATTCCCGGCCCAATAATAGACATAGTTTTTTATACCCATCTATTATCTTAATGCTCTAATTCTCTTCCTTAGAATCTAAAGCCACTGCCTGCTGCTGCCCACCCCTGCTGCCCCATCCCACTGCCGCGCGGGGGGTGGAGTGGGGGCAATATACTGCTATAGCCCAAAACTCCCCTAGCCGATTGTGCCATGGTAGAAATCTCATGCCATTTTAACTGTAGAGTCTGAAAAGCCTTGGGTATGCATATGCTCATTGGCTCTTCCTTTGCACTTCATTGCATATCACAACTACTTTGAAGCATGTCCAGTTCCAGTTGGGATTTAGTGTATCTTTGTATCCAATACGTTAATTTGTGCCTAGAAGAAAATAAATAGGGGCTGTCAAAAGCAAAACTATGAAATAAGTTATTTTGTAATGAAGATCTCTAGCCTCCACTTCTGCTCTTTCTGCTTCAGCTGTGGCAAATTGCCTGTTTCTTTTTGCCTTCAGCTTTCTCTTCCTATCCCCCCTCCCCAAAATATATATGATTAAATCTTTAGATTTATATGAAACTTCCTCATATCATTTTGCTAATTCTGTACATTTATGAACTGTCTTAATTACTTTAATCATTAGTTAATTATTTTATCATTAGTCTTGGTTCCTGTTAGTGAAATCGTCCATTGTTTGACAATATAACAATACATAATTTTTAAAATTATAAAAATTAATTTAAGCCGAGGATTTAGCTCAGTGGTTTTGCCGTCTGCTGTGCAAACGCAAGGACCCGAGTTCGATCCCCGGTACCCAAAAAAAAAAAAAAAAATCAACTGTTTAAAAAAATAATAATAATTTTAAAGGGCCATTCAAGGGAATATAAATGGACTAATATCCTCAATTTTTATGAAATACAGTCAGAAATGATACATTTTAAATATTTTTTAAATGGAAAAGTCAAAAGAATTGTTTGAGTGAACCCACAGATTCACCCACCCTGGCTTACTCATGTACAGTCCTGTTTCTTCTATAATTCCTTCTCACTTCCTGCCGCCACCTACCCTAGAGGCAGGATTACAGTATTTTGAAGCAAACCTAAAGCCTGTAATCCCAGCACTTGGGAGGCTGAGGCAGGAGGATTGCCACAAGTTCAAGGCCAGCCTGAGTGGATTCAAGGCCAGCCTAAACTACAGAACAAAACGTGTCTCAAAAAAAAAAAAAAAATCTAGAGAGATTTGTAGAGACTGATTTTCTTTTTTGGGGTTACCAGGGGATTGAACTTGGGACCTTGCACTTGCAAGGCAGGCAGCGGAACCACTGAGCTAAATCCCTGGCCCAAGAGACTGATTTTTCTGCTTCGGAGAAACATTTACCAAAAATTTAGTATTTTCTTTTCTGCATTTGTTAACTTCAAGCAAACTTAGATTTAATTTCTTTTATTGAAAATGGCAATTTTGGAAAATGATTCTTTTTAATTTAATTTATCTGCTGTCTAATACATAGAAACATGTCTAGAATGATGATCATTATATTAATGATTTTATTTATGGTGGTGGGTTTGGGGTAGTTTTTTAAATTCTGTACATTTTTCTGTATTACTTAAGTTTTTCTAATGAGGTATATAATTTTTATTTTAAAAGTAACTATTAAAAGTTGAAGAAAATAAATACCTATAATATTAAGATTTTGTTTAACTGATTTGTAAGAATTTTAACTTTCAGGGTCCAGTTCTACCTCAAGAAATAAGTCAAGTAATTCAACAGCATAAATCTGGCTTTTATGACAACAGTGTTAAGTATCAGCAAAGAAAACATGAACCTCACCGAAAATGTAAGTTTTAAATTAGAAAGGTGTGTTTGTGTACTATTTGTGTCCTTAAAAAATTAATAAACACCTTTAGTGAAATATAATTTACATACCAAAAAATAAATTCATCCCTTTTTTTCATATTCACACGTTGGTTCTTTATTTTATTTATTTATTTATTTATTTTGAGCATAATTTTCTTTGAGATCACATTTTTCTCTTTTTAAATAAATTTTATTTTATTTTATCTCATTCTCCCCCTCAAGCCCCCTCTCCTATGTACAGAGGCTTTGTTTCCATTTTTTGCCTGCTATTTTCATTTTTTCTTGTCCTTCCTTCCTTTCTCCCTCCCTCCTCCTTTGTTCCCTTTCCCACTGGAACACTTTCTTCCTATTTCCCAACATCTACTACACATTCAGTCCTTACTTCCACTTTCAGTTTCTCGCACCAGAGAAACAATCTGGTATTTAAACATTTGTGCCCGATTTATTTCACTTAAGAGTATGGTCTCAAGGTCCAGACGGACCTTGAAACCATACTCTTAAGTGAAATTCATCCTTTAAAGTAGACAATCAAAGCTGGGCAAGGTGGCCTACACCTATAATCCCACCACTCAAGAGGCTGAGGCAGGAGGTTCACCAAGAGTTCGTTATCAACCTGGGCTACACAGGGAATTCAAGACCAGCCTGAACTACATAATGAGACCCTGTCTCAAAAGTATATGATCAGTGTTCTTTTGGTACTTTAACAAAGTGTGTGATCATTAGTACCACTACATAAATCATTTTCATCACCCAGAAAAGAAATGCTTTGCCCATTAGCATCACTCTTGCATGCCCTAGCATCCCCTAATTTTCTTTCTGTCTCTATAGATTCCCGTATTCTGGACATTTCATATGTGTAGAATCAGAAACTGTATGACCTTCTGTGGCTGTGTTCCTTCATTTCGCATGATATTTTTAAGGTTTATTCATGTTACAACACGTATCAATAAGTACTTCATTCCTTTTTATGCTGAATAATATTCCATTGTATGAATACCACATTTTGTTTATCCATCACTACAAAGAATAATGCTGCTATGAATAGCTGTGTACAATTTTTTGTGAGAACATATATTTGCAGTTCTCTTGAGAATATGTTTATGAGTACCATTACTAAGTCATATAGTATCGCCATAACTTTTTAACTTTTTATGAAATTACCAGACCGTTTCCCAAAATGGGTGCACTCTACTAGCAATATGAGGGTCCAGCCCAACTTCTCCACACTCTCCAGAGAACTTATTATTGCCCATTTGTTTGATGATACACATCCTCATAGGTGTGAAGTGGAATCTCCTTATGATTTTCATTTGCAATTCATTAATGACAGACAATGTTGAGCAGATTTTCATGTATTCATTGGCTTCAGTTTATCTTCAGAGAAATGTATTCAAATCATTGTTTCACTTTTTATTGTACTGGTTGTCTATTCTTAATTTGTAAGAGTTCTTTATGTATTCAAAATGCTACATGCTTATGATTTGCAAATATTTTCTCATTCTGTGAGTTATTTTTTAACTTTATAGTGTCCATAAGTATGAAAGTTTTTAATTTTTATGAGGGGAATTTATGGATTTTTCAACTTTTTCTTTGGTTCCTTATGCATTAGCTGTCATATCTAAGAGAACATTGCCTAATACAAAGTCATGAATAGTTACATTTGTATTTTCTTCGAAGGGTTTTATAGTTTACAGTTAGGTTTCTTTCCACTTGGAATGAATGTTTATATGTGGCACTAGATAGGAGTGTTCATTCTTTCATATTTGGATATCCAGTTGTCACATTACCATTTGTTAAAATGGCTATTCTTTCCCCCATTGAATTCTCTTAGAATCTTCATAAAAAGTCTCTATATATTTACAGGTTTACTTGTGGGCTCTAATTACACTGATCTCCATGCCTATCCTTACATACACAGTACACTGTCTCAGTCACTGTAGCTTTGTTGTAAACTTTTAATTCAGGAAGTTTGAGTCCCCCAACTTTTTTTCTTTTTCAAGATTGTTTTGTCTGGGGGCTGGGCATTTAGTTCAGTGGTTCCACCGCCTGCCTTGCAAGCTCAAGGACTGGAGTTCAATCCCCTATACCAAAAAAAACCTGTTTTGTCTGTTCTAGGTACCTTGCATTTCCATATAAATTTTAGGATCATCTTGTCTGTTTCTGCAAAAACTGCAGCTGGATTTTTCATAGGGATTTACATTAAATCTGTAGTTAATTTTGGGTAGGATTGTCATCTTAACAATATTAAATCTTTCCAGGCATGAAAACAAGATTTCTTTCTATTTACTTAGGTCTTGTTTTGTTTTGATTGTTTAACTTCCCTTGAACTCTCTATATAGCCCAGGCTTGCCTCAAATTAGTGGGGATCTGCCTGCCTCTGCCTCCCGAGTGCTGGGATTAGGCATTTGGCATGCACCACCATGCCCAGCCACTTGAGTGTTCTTTAATTTGTTTTAGTACTGGGGTTTTGTTGTGATTTTTTTTGGTACTGGGGATCAAACTTGGAACCTTGTGCTTGCGAGGCAGGCACCTGAACCACTGAGCTAAATCCCCAGCCCAAAAATGTATTATTATTATTTTTTTGGAACCAGCGATTGAACTCGGGTCCTTGCGCTTGCACAGCAGGCAGCAAAACCACTGAGCTAAATCCCTGGCCCTACTGGGGTTTTTTTTCTGGGGTGTTGTTTTGTTGTGTTGTGTTTGTTTTGGTTTTTTGAGACAAGGTCTTACTATGTAGTTTTGGCTGGCCTTGAACTCACCATGTAGTCCAGGCTGGCCTTGAACTTGTGCTCCTCCTGTCTCAGCCTCCCAAGTGCTGGAACTATAGGTGTGTGCCACTATGCCTAGCTCAGAGGTGTTTTGTAGTTTTTAATGTACAAGTTTTATACTTCTTTTGTTAAATTTATTCCTATTTTATTTTTTGATGCCATTATCAATGGAAATGTTTTTAATTATTCATTGTTATTTGTAAACATAAAATTGAATTTTGCATATATTGTTACCTTGCTGAACTTGATTATTATCCCTAATTGTGGCATCTGCAGATACTCTTCTTCCTGTACAGTCTGGTTGCCTTTTCTTTTCTATCCTAATAGCTGTGTCTAGAACCACATCTGGTGTTGAACAGAAGTGCTGAAAACAGACATCTTTGACTTTTCTTGACCTTAAAGATAAATTTTCAATCTTTTACTGTGTTAGCTATAGGTATTTCATAGATGTCCTTTATTAGGTGAGGAAGTTCTCATCTATATTTAGTTTGTTGATTTTTATCTGGGAGAAGTGTTAGATTTTATCTTTTTTTCCTCTGGGATTAAAATAGGACCTCACAAATGGTAGGCCAGCACTTTGCCACTGATCTACAGCTACAGCCTCTCAAGTGTTATTTCTGTATCTATTGAGATGATCTTTTATTCAGTTTATATGTATTGTGCCATTGATTATATTTCCTATGTTGAATCAACTTTGCATTACTGTAATAAATCCTAAGTGATAGTTGATGATCTTTTTTTATATACTACAGGATTTGATTTGCTTGGTTTTTTTTAAGATTTTTGCATCTGTGTTCATAAGAGATACTTGTAATTTTCTTGGGATGATTTTGATTTGGTATCATGATCCCTTTTCATCTATGTTTTGAGAGTTTGGGAAGAAGTGATATTACTTCCTCTTTAAATGTTTGATGAATTCACCAGTGAAACAGTCTGAACCTAGACCTCTCTTATGGGAAGTTTTGGTTGTTGTTGTTTTGTTTTGTTTGGGGGTTTTTTTAATCACCATGTGTTAATTGTACATATTAATGAGGTTCATTGTATTTCTACACACGCATATACCATGTACAGATCAAACACAGCCTCCATTTATCTACCCTCTCCCACATATGCACCCCACCCAACCTCTTTACGGGAAGTTTTTATATTTACCAGCTCAGTGTCTTTTGCTTGCTATATTTCTACTCAGATTGTCTTTCTACATGAGTCAGTTTAAATAGCATCTTTATACAAATTTCTCCATTTCATCTAGATTAGTTGTTATTGGCATATAATGTCTGTAATATTTCCTTATAATCTTTTATTTCTCTAAGGTTGATAGTGGTATCCCCACTTTCACTTCTAATTCTAATTATTTCCACTTTCTGTGCTTTTTCTTTGTTAGTCTAGCTAAAAATTTGTCAGTTTTGTTCCTTTTATAAGACCACTTTCTAGCCAGGTGCAGTGGCACATACCTGTAGACGTAGCTACTTGGAAGACTAAGAGGTAGATCACTTGAGCCCAGGAGTTTGATGCCAGCCTGGGCAACAAAACAAAATCCCATCTAAAAGTAATCTGGTTTCATTAATTTTCTCAATTGTTTTTCTACTATTTCATTTATTTCCACTGTAATCTTTACTTTTCCTTCTTTCTTCTTTTGGATTTAGCGTATACTTTTTTCTAGTTCCTTAATGTAGAAGATTGGGTTACTGATTTGAAAGATTTATCTTTTTAAATTTTTTTATTGGTACGTTTTAGATATACATAATGATAACATTCTTAATAGGGAATTTGTACTTGTACATGGTATATCTTGCTTCCTTTTTTTTCCCCCCATTTCCCTCCCCTCCCTTCAACCCCTTCTCTTTTCTTAATATAAGCATTTACAGCTGTAAATACTCTTCAAAGCACAGAATTAGCTGCATCACATGAATTTTGATGTGTTGTCATTTTGTTTTGTTTTATTTTGTTTTTTGAGACTGGGTCTCAGCATGTAGTTCAAGCTGGCTTTGAACTCACTGTGTAGCCTAGGCTAGCCTGGAACTCACAGCACGTTGATCCTCCTGCTACAGTCTCCCAAGTGCTGAGATTGCAGGCATGTGCCACCACTCCTGGTTAGTATGTTGTGTTTTCATCCTGTTCAAAGTTCTTCTAATTTTCCAGTGACTTCTTTGACCCATGCTTTTTTAGTTGTTTTGTTTTGTTTTGTTTGTTTGAGACAGGGTCTCACTTAGTTCACACTGTCCTTGGACTCACTATGTAGCCCAGGCCTATGCTTTATTTAGGAATGTATTTTCAAATTTCCAGCTATTTGTGAACTCCCAGATTTTCTTCTATAACTTACTCTATTTCATTCCTTTGTGGTCTGAATGACTTGAGTGCTTTTAACTTTATTGAGGTTTGTTTTGTGGCCTAGTATATGGTCTGTCCTAAAGAATGTTCCATACTTGAGAAGAATGTGTATTGTACTGTTATTCAACAAAGTGTTCTATAGACATCTCTTAGACTCCTTGGTTTATAGCGTTTAAATTTTCTGTGTCTTTGTTGATTTTTATGTCTAGTTATTGTATCCATTATGAAAGTGCATTAATCTTATTAAAACACAGTTCTGGTCAGATAATTACCTAGTCAAAACTTTTTTGTAATTGCTTGCCTCTGGCCTACTCTTGCCTATTCCATACTCTTCAGTATCTTTCAGAGTATGACTCTAACTTGCTTCATTGCACCCATGTACTCCTTAATTGCCAGCAAAAGTAGTCTATTTAGAATTCCATAAACACAGTCTTTGCTTTCTCTTTTAATATTTTTTCTCCCACTCTTCCTTTTGCTTTTGTTAGCCTCCTTTTCTGCCCTTCCATTCTTCTAGGCCCAATTCACATACCACTTTCTTTTTCCTTTATTACTAATTGCAAGTATCTCTTCTCCCACTCACCTAGATTATAAATTCCTTAAGATCAGAAATTACATCTTCTTGGCATTCTCTCAATTTTTCACACAGTGCCTTACTATGGCAAATATTTGGTAAATCTAATTGTTGTGCAGTAAGCACTTTCATTCACCAGAATTTCTGTTTTCTTATCTCTAGTTAAAGAAGAGTGTAAGAGTCCTAAAGCTGAGTGTCGGTCACAAAAAATGTCCAGTAAGCAGGTAATCTTACTTAAAGTCAAATTTCTAGTAGCCAACTTTTTAATTCAATTGGTGGCTCTATCATCTGATTGAATTTTTGCAAACTTTGCAAACAAATCTATAATGGATATGGCAAAAAGGTTCATGAAGTACAGGCTGATAGATATTTGGATGGAACTATCCAAGCTGGAGTCCAGGATTTGGAGCTATGAGCACCTGAAATCCTGATTTTGCTATTTAATAGTTGGGTGGGCTTGAGCAATTCCTCACCTCTCACAGCCTCAATTTCTTCATCTTTAAAGTGAAGTTAAAGCTATTCATCACTTGTATCTCTGATTATATAGGTGCATACACATATATATATAAAATATGCAAGAATATATATCTGTTTACAATGATAGTGTAAGGAACCGTGTAGCATACTTAACAGACTATATACCAGTGAAGGTGAATCTTTTAGAGTTTTCAGTGATTCAAACAGCATGCTGTGGTGCATGTGTCATAGGTTCACCACTACTATATACATTCTGTAGAATTAAATTGGTATGGGAGAAGCTGAGGTCACATTTTATTTTATATAATCTCTGATAAGGGGTGTACTTTTTTAATCAAAGAATTAGACATGTATATTTATGATAAGTGCACTTTTCTATATGCCTATTATATTGTGATACTTTTCTTTGTGGTACTAGAGAGTAAACCCCCCAGGGCCTTCACCCTTTTTAAATTTTTATTTTTAGGCAGGGTCTTGCTAAATTGCTAAACTGCCTAAGCTGGGCTCAAGCTTAGAATCCTCCTGCCTCAGCCCCCTCAGAGTGCTGGGATTACAGGTGTGCACCACCATTTCCAGCATTAATATATATTTGGGGGGTGGGTTTTTTCTCTTTTTAGTGGTGGTGGTGGTGGTGGTTTTTTATTTTTGAGATGGTGTCTCACTATGTAACCCAGGCTGTCCTTGAACTTGCAGTAATCCTCCTGCCTCAGCCTCTTGAGTGTTGGGGTTACAGGTGTGCGCCACCATGCCCGGTACTACATATTTTTTAAAAAGTGATCTCTTGAGCTGGGGCTGTAGCTCACTGGTACAGCATTTGGCTAGCATTTGTAAGGGCCTTCATCCAATCCCAAGTCTGCAAACTTTAAAAATAATTTTTTTAGGGCCAGGGATTTAGCTCACCACCTGCCTCATGAGCACAAGGTCCCACGATCCCTGGTACCAAAAATAAATTTTTTTTAAAGTGTTAGACTATTTGACACGTAACAGATAAATGAAACCCATTAATGGAATCCATTAATGTGTAAATACCAGTAGTTTAATTAATTGACTTTTAATGTTCTCTGCATTTGAAACTCTTATGCTATAATTGCCTTTCTTCTATACAAGGGATTGATAACAATTTTTGTGCAATAACATCTTTAGTGAAGCAGTTGGACTGTTAGTGAAGCTATTATTCTCCAGATAATGTTTTAAATGCTAAAGTAAAATACATAAGATTTGAAAGAAAACCACTTACACTGAAATACAATGAGAATCACTATTATTCACTTTGGGCTGCTGGAACAAAGTAACAGACTTAGTGGCAAATCACAGATGTTTATTTCCTCACAATTCTGGGTGTAGTTTTCGTTTGGGTGGGGTTTTTTCTTGTATTTTGTTTGGGGGGGGTTGTTTATTGGTTTGTTTTGTTTTTTTGAGACAGAGTCTCACTATGTGCTTCAAGATGACCTTAAACTCATTATATAGCCCAGGCTGATCTCAAACTCCCTCTAAACTTCCTGCCTCAGTCTCCCGAGTGCTGGGACGACAGCTATGTGCTGTCACACCGGGCTTCCTCACAATTCTGGAGCCTGAGAAGTTCAAGATGAAGGCACTAAAGGGTAATATTTTTAATGCTAAAATAAAATAGGTAGCCAGGTGTGGTGGCGCACACCTATAATTGCAACACTCGGGAAGCTAGGGCAAGAGGATCACTGTGAGCTTGAGGCCAGCCTGGGCTACATAGTGAGTTCAAGGTCAGTCTGAACTGCATCGCGAGACCCTGTCTCAAAAAAATAAAACAAAATAAGATTTGAAAAAAAACAAAACAGCTATATTGAAATACATTTAGAATTTGATAAGGCCTCTGATCCTGGCTTGCAGATGGCCCTTCTTAAATTCTAACATAGTATTTAGAAACCACTCTATTCTTCTTCTAAGGACACTAATCCCATCCTTTGGGTCCTACCCTCATGACTTCATCTAAACAAAATTACGTCCTAACAGCCTCACCTCCTAAAACTATCCCTTTGGGGTCTAGAGTTTCAACACAAGAATTTGAGAAGGGGGACACTAACATGCAGTTCATGTCAGTGCTTTATCGCCTACTTTATAATTGAGGAATATGCTAAATCTCATTTACAGGCTAAGGAAGATAGATACAATTTAAAAAAAAAGATAGATACAGTTTTTTCACCATCCAAGTTTATATGATGGAAAAGGAAAAGCAGTGGATAAAAATTTTCCACCAACTTATTTAGAATACTATTAAGTAGTAACTATAAATTTATACAGAAAGTTCATTCTTACTTTTTTATAGGCTTTTGGAGGGTCTGCCAAATGTAATATTAAGTTACTGAAGAGAAATGAACGTCCTGAAGTCTCAGAAATCCAAAAGGCTGTGACTGGTTACCCAAATGCTACTGATAAGGTAAAAGATCCTTTACTTTCTCTTTGCACACTTTAACACCTGGGAAGGTGAGTAAGTGAAAACTGAATTACCGTTTTTTTGCGTAAAACTCTTAGCTTTTTCCTGTATGTTTGTACTTTCATCTTCATGAACAAATATTTACATTTTAGCCTAACTCTGGAATTGAGAACTTTTTAGCATCCTTGAATATCTCTAAAGAAAATGAATTACCATCATCTCATCATGGAGAGCCTCCAAATGAAGAGCATTTGTCTCCACAGTCATTTGCTATGGTTCGTATACTTTAAGAACTTTTTCACTATGGTGATGCTGTTGACCATGTATACATGCCCCATGCAGTTGTTCAAACAGTTTCCCCTTATGCAGGCTGGTGTGTTCCATTACTGTGGTCTTGCTATGAGGAAAAACAGGCTGCCTTGAGCAATTTAGCCATCTTTTTTGTTTTTCTCCTCTTAGACCAGGGGTGGCAAACCTATGCCATGCATGCCGCAGTGGGCACACAGAGCCCTCTCTGTTGGCATGAGACTCAGGTCACCCGAGCATCACCCCAGCAGCTAAGTATCAGATATTCAAGTTTAATTGCAATGTTGGCACTCTGCAATAAATAAGTGGATTTGGGGTTGCAGTTAGGGCACTCAGTCTCTAAAAGATTTGCCATCACTGTCTTAGACCATAGTTCCTCTGATTCACAAACATTGCTACTAAGGAACTAGGCTAGAAGTTAAACAAAGGATAAATATTGTTTCTATATCCAGTAATATGGATTTCTTGACTTGATTTGCCTTATTCCCTATACAAATATAGTTAACATCTTATGTAACAATGGAACTTTGAAAAGAAGGATCAAATGCTGAAGATGTAGCTCAGGGGTGGGGAATTTGCCTACCATGCACAGGGCCCTGGTTTCAATCCCCAACAAGCCAAAACGAAAAACACCAAAGTGTCAAAAAGATAAGCTGTATAAATCTAATGTTAACTTTCCTCACCCCACCCCCATCATCTCCATATGACTGATTTTCAAAAAAGAAGGGAACACGAATGCTTAAAGAAATTCTAAAAATTGATGGTTCTGACACAGTGGACCCTAAGAATGAAATGAAACGATATGGAAATGAAGTTACTGTTTCTTCTAATAGAAGAGATGAATATGGACTATCCTCACAGCCTAAACAAAATAAGAAATTAGGTAAGTAAACTGAGTACAGTTACTAATAATGAATATCGTTTCAAAAAATTAAGTTCATATGGTTCTTTTATCATGTGATTTTTAAACATAAAACTTTTTTTTTTTCCTTTAAACAGAGTCTCACTATGTAGTCCAGGATGGCTTTAAACTCACTGTATAGCCCAGTCTGGCCTTGAAGTTATGGCAATCCTCCTGCCTTGTCCTCCCAAGTGCTGGGGTTATAGGCATGCACCACCATGCCTGGCAAAACTTTTTTATTTTTGAGTATCATTTTTTTACTTGTGTCATTCATATAGTAATATAGCTATGTGACCAAAATATCTACAGTCCTTAAATCTTTTTGTGATCACTTAAATTGTTCTATTAAATACATTCTGACCCTGGTGTGGTGACACACGCTTGTACTTCCAGCACTCAGGAGGCAGAAGCAAGAGCATCCTTGTGAGTTCTAGGCAGTTTAGGATACATAGTAAGTTCAAGGCCAGCCTATCTCCAAAAAAAAAAAAAAAATCATTCTATAGATAGCCAAACCTTGAGAGGTTTTCACATTCTAGTCTTTTCCCTCAATAATTTATATATGATTTTGTTTGTTTGTTTGATATTTTTTTGAGACCGGGTCTTGTTATGTACTCCAGACTGGCCTTGAACTTGCAGCAGTCCTCCTGCCCCAGCTTCCCAAGTGCTGGGATTACAGTTGTGCGCCACCATATCTGACACATGATTATATAATTTAAGCACATTTGATTTTTCTAAGATATTTTTCCTGTTTATAAAATGAGAACATACATTGCAGATGACTATTATGATAATCATATAACATGTATACAAATCAGTTACCACTGTCTGACACATCATAGGTGGTAATTAATTGATATTAATATTATTATGTTAAAGTAATTTGACCAGTATAAATATAGAGAAAGCTATAAAATCACTTGAAATTCTTAATGATGGTAGACATTGGAAACATTGAATAATTATTTTACATATGAAGGCAGTAGCATAACATAGTACATAGCCAGATTTCAGTGAATATCCATCATTGCCCCATCCCCTTTGTCCCTTACACTTTATTGAGTCCAACAAATGTGAACAGATGTTTCTTGGAGAAATAAAAAAAAATTTTAAGTAATCAGACTCAGTTCATTAAGAATCAATATCTAGAACAAAAGTAGAGCTGATCTCCATTTGTACTTCATTGAATGTTGTTAAAATCAATTAACTAAAATTTTCAAGAAGTATTAGGAAAGTATTTGTCATAGTGACAAATACACTCCTGAAATAGAGAAAAATAAATTAAGTTTCACTTAATTTCATATAAATGAAGCAAAACATAAAGACCTTAGCAGTCAGTAGTTCAAATTCAGCCCCATATTATAGAATTAACTGGCACTGTGACTTTGGGCAAGCCATTTAACCTCTTTTTTAATCTATAAAGGTTAGAAATTTAGATTAATTTTTCACTGAGGTATGCTTTTGTTTTAGTAGTGAGTTTGTTGATTATAAAGAATGTGAACATTCAGAAATTTTTAATCATCTTGGTTTTTTTTTTTTTTTTTTGGTACCGGGGATTGAACTTGGGACCTTGCGCTTACAAGGCAGGTGCCGGAACCACTGAGCTAAATCCCCAGCCCTAATCATCTTGGGTTTTTTTGTTTGTTGTTTTGGTACTGGGGATCTAACTCAGGTCCTTGCACTTACAAGGCAGGTGGCAGAACCACTGCGCCATGCTCTGAATGCTTTTTTTTTTTGGTACCCGGGATCGAACTTGGGACCTTGCGCTTGCAAGGCAAGCACCGGAACCATCTTGTTTTTAAGTATATTTAAAAAGCTTAGTTTCAAAAAAAAGCTTAGTTTCAGAAAAAATGTTTAAGAAGTATCATTTTAGAACAACAAAAATATTCATCTCATATATCTCAAAATATAAGATGGAATTGCAAGAATTAGACTGAAGCCAAAGCCTCAAAACTTTAGGATTAATCATGAATCTGCTCAAGAAAGCCATTTGCTTGTTAAAATTTGACCTGTTTTTGTTGTTGGTTGTTTTTTTTTTTAGTTTTACCTGTTATAACAGGTAAAATCATTAGTTGTACAGGATTTAAATTTTTGGCAATCAAATACTATTTTTAAATTACCTTAATAATTTATCATTAATCAATTAAATCATCTAAAATTTCATCAAAGTTTCAATAATTGTAGGCAATACTAAATAATTCTATTTATTTCATGAGAGACTCTTTTTTTTTTTTTTTTTGGTACCGGGGATTGAACTTGGGTCCTTGCACTTGAGACTCATTTTTTTTTTCACTAAATTTCTAGCAGTTTTCTGCTTAGTCTACTATAAAACCTTTCAATAGTTGCATAATTTGAGATACCATTTTATTAATACAGATATATCTGTCTTTTTGTAGCGCCTTATATGAACAAGCTTCACCGTGCCAATGAATACCACAGTATTCCGTCTGTGGACAGTACGTGCTGGCCTATTCCCAGCCAGGTCTCTTCTGTGTCCACACCAGTAACTGAACTTGCTCGAATTTGTTCCCTTGTTGGGATGCCACAACCAGATTTCTCCTTTCTGAGAACACCTCAGGTAGAGTATACCTCTACTCAATTTATATCTGTTCTCTAATACTGAGCTTAAATAATTGATTGACAGTCTTTGGCTAGGAAAATATAAGGGGGCTTTTAAATTTTTATGAACAGCATAGATTTGTTTCTCACTCAGGCTGTTGCATTTAGACATAACTAGAGCCCTCACAAAGGCCGACAGAAAGAAACCTGGGCAGCAGGTATCCCGGCAAGATTCTTCAGAATGACAGAGTTGGGGATATTGGGGTATAGCAATAATTTTTCAAAACTTTTTGGTCTCTGAAATTCCCTCATTTATTCTGGAGGAACCCAAAGAAGTTTTGTTTACTTGTGTTACATCTGTGTTTATTATATAGAAGTGAAAACTAGTAAGTCTTATATGTTTCTTAATTTAGTTTTATTAAGTGTCCTGGGGCTGTAGATATAACTCAGTGGTATGGTATACCTAGTGTGTGCAAGGCCCTGGGTTTGATCTGCCACACTGAATAAAACATTTTTTTGTTTTGTTTTTCTTAATAAAAAGTGGCTAGAAGAGAGTGGTATACCTTTAATTTTGTTTTCCCACTACTGGGATTGAACTGAAGGCCTTTGCACTGAGCCACATCTAGCCCTTTTTTAATTTTAATTTTTAATGTTTTAAAGACAGGGTCTATCTAGCTAAGTTTCCCAGGCTAAGCTCAAACTTCTGATCCTCCTGCCTCACCCTCCCAGAGAGCTAGGACTACAGGGGTGTGCCACCTTTCCTGGCTGGTATTGCTGTACATTTTCAAAATTTTTTCCATCTGTAGATTAATAGAAGTAGCTAGGGGCTGGGGATTTAGCTCAGTGGTTCCACCACCTGCCTTGCAAGTGCAAGGTCCCAAGTTCTATCCCTGGTACCAAAAAATAATAGAAGTAGCTAGATTATTGTATATACTTCAATCAATCTGTTGCAATATGTTGTTTCAGTAGAAATATATGGTATCACATAGACAATAATTGAAAAAAGAACATTTCAGTAGCTATTCTTTGATACATTAAAACTTAAAAGTTTTAATTTTTTAAGGGTTAGTTGCAATTTCAAATCTGAAACTGTATCCATGAGTGTTTTATCCTCTATATACAATGGACCCTTGACTTACAACCTGGATTGGATCCCAAGGGCCGGTTGTAACTCACATTGGTTGTAAGTCAATACAGCAGAGATCTGGATGTTTACCTGGGTACACACTATAGATAACAAGAGGTAGATGAATCTTCCATTAACCTGATTAACCCAAGTTGTTCCTATGTCAGGCCGGTCATAACTTGAGGGTCTATTGTACTTGTAAGAAATGAGGAAAGGAAGTGAGAAAGGGGGCAAATAGCATCTTACTATTACTATAAAAGAGTTGGACCTCAGGGACCCTCTAAAAGGATCTTAAGGGACCTCCACAGGTTCCCAGTCTGCATCTGAGACCTACTGGCTATAAGAAAGGTTGTTATATCCTCTTTACATCCAAGTTCTTCTTACAATCTCACATAAAACAGAAAGCAGTTTCTTCTAAGATTAGGAACAAGACAAGGACTACTGTGGCACTCTCATTCAGAGTAGTACTGGAAGTTTAGACAGAGTCATTTGTCAAGAAAAACAAAAGCATCCAAATTAAAAAGAAAAAAGTAAAATTATGTTATATGGAGCCAAGTGTGGTAGGCTGAGGCAGAAAAATTACCACAAGTTGGAAGCCAGCCTTGGATACATAGTTCAGGGTCAGCCTGGACTACATAGCAAGTTCCTGTTTCAAAAAACAAACAAATCTTGTGTTATATGTAGAAAACAATAAATATTTTATTTTAAAAACTTTAATAATTAGAAAAACTCGCAGAATATAAAATTAATACAAAATCAATTTTACTTCCATAGACTAACAGTGAATAACCTGAAAAGAAAATTAAGAAAACAATCCATTTATGATAACATCAAGAAGAATAAAATACTTAGGAATAAGTTTAATGAAGGAAGCACTGATGGCAGTACTACCCAGTGATCTATGGATTCAATGCAATCCCTGTCAGATTCCCAGTAGAAGCTAGGTATGTTAGTGCATGCCTTGTAGTTCCAGCACTCATGAGGCTAAGGCAATAATGAGACCCTGTCTCAAAAAAACCCAATAGAATAGAGTAGAATAGAGAGACTATAAATAAACTCTCATATATATGGTCATTTAACAGGATGCCAAGACCTTTCACAGGAAGGGAGGGGATTGGAAGGAGGAAGGGGAGAAAAATATTATTCTACTTGTTTAGACTAAGCTTTGGGAGAAATTGACTTTCTAGATAGATAATTTCATAGACATCCATATTCTCTTTTTTTAGACAATGACAGTTTGCCAGGTAAAATTATCAAATGGTTTACTGGTGCATGGGCCACAGTGCCGCTCTGAAAATGAAGCCAAGGAGAAAGCTGCACTTTTTGCTTTACAACAACTGGTAAGAACTGTCTGTGACCTGTCTATAAAATCTATAATGTTTCTATAGAAACTTTATAACTTTAAATACTTCCACAGGGCTCCTTAGGAGTGAATTTTCCTTTGCCTCCACCACTATTTCCAAATTATCCTCCTGCTATACCACCTGGAACCATTCCTCCAGTTTTTCCCCAACCTCCTGGTAAGATATTTTGCTTTTCTAAGTATTTGTCATTGAGTTGATATTTTTAACTAATTTTCCTTAAGAAGCATCATTTTTTTAAAATCCAAAAATTTACCTAGTGTCTTAAGAATGTAAGAAGAGGGGCTAGGGATGTAGCTCAGTGGTTCTGCCGCCTGCCTTGCAAGCACAAGGAAGCGAGTTCGATCCCCAGTACCAAAAAAAAAAAGAATGTAAGAAGAAATTGTGAGATGTCAGCCTGAAGCTGGAGTCTGCAAAGTCACCCAGAAATACCATTTCTTTTCCTCCATTCCCTAGCATAGCAAGCACAGGAAGGCGGTTCTTTGAAGTGGCCAAGCCAACAGATCAGTTTGAGTTTTGGTCAGACATAAAAATTACAGGTAAAAATACCAGTAACTTCTTTGGGACTCCATTTTCTTATTTGTAGCAAACAGTCCAGGATCCTTTTGATGCTAACATTTTACAATTTTGTGATCCCAAATCTTAAATTGATTAGTCATTTCTTTTATCACTTAGTCTTTTTCCTGAGAAAGTTATCTTTTTTTAATAGCAAAACATTTATTGGTACATTTTAGACATACATAACGATAACACTCATCATAGGGAATGTGCACAATACCTCTGCCTCTTTTTTCCCATCCCCCCATGTCCCCCTCCGCTCCCTATGTATAGAAGCTTTGTTTCCATTTTTTCCTTCTATTTTCAAAAAGCTATCTTCTTTATATCTTTTTTTTTTCTTTTTGAGACAAAGTCTTACTGTGAGATTCTTTTTTGTTTGTTTGTTTTTTGAGACAAGGTCTTGCTATGTAGCCCAGGCTGACCACAATCCTCCTGGCTCAACCTCCTGAGTGCTGAGATTACAGGCATGTGCTACCATGCCAGGCTTGCTTTGAGAGTCAGGCTGGCCTTGAATTTGAGGTGATCCTCCCACCTTAGCCTCCCAAGTGCTGGGGCTACAGGCATGTGCCACCACACCCCCCCTTTATATTTTAATCATTGTCATTTTTAAAGCGAATAGTATTTTTTGAGTAATAAGCATACCTTTATTTGCTGATTCCCATTACAAAAACATTACATTAGAAAGAAAAGTGTCTTCTTGAGTTGATATGAGAGGCAGTTTCCCCCTTAAAGTGTTAAGTAGAACAATTTCACTATCAGAATTAAAATGTTAAATTTTATATTGTCTTTACCACTTTGATCTTTAGAACAATTGACCAAAATAAGGTAAAATATGATATGTTTATTTTATCTTCAGGAATGTAAAGATCTAATTATTTAAACAGTTTTTATTATAAAACTAAACGCTGAAGGTGTCTACAGAAATGAAAGCCAATAATATATTTAAGCTTGAAAATTACTTTTCTGTTACTTCTGTATGTCAGATATTATTTGAGTAACTCTACATATCTAACCCTTATATAAACAATAATAAGAAAATTAATAATGCTGAATAGGGGTAGCATTTTAGCTCAGTGGTAGGGTGCCTGCCTAGCATGCACGTGGCCCTAAGTTCAGTCTGAACCCATGTCCACACACACACAGGTACACACACACATACAAACACAATAATAATAACATCAGCAACAACCATGCTGATTAGATGTAAATTTACAACATGCAGTTATCTTTTCTTCTTGCAAAAAGTCCACTAAACTGAATAAGAGTTAAAAAGGTGTAAACATACAGGTACAAAAAGATGAGTGAAGAAATATCAGCAGATTAGAAATTTGAAAAGGTTTTGATGAGAAAAAGTCTGAAGTGACCAGTTTTAGCACAGCAGGGTTAACTGTAAAGTATGATTTCCACAGAAGAGATTATAAGTGAGCTAAAGAGCAGATTTTTCATCACAGTTCCCAAGATTCAGAATTTGGAAGTTATCAAAAGCTATCAGAAAAGACAAGGAGAACCAAGCATGGTGGTGCATGCCTGTAATCCCAGCACTTAGGAGGCTGAGGCAGGAGGATCGCCACAAGTTTGAGGCCAGCCTGCGCTACGTAGTGAGTACAAGGCCAACCTAAACTACATAGCAAGACCCTGTCTCAAGAGAAACAAAGACAAAAGAAAAAATACAAAACAAAGGCAAAGATGAGGCAGGGACTGAAGAGAGGGATTGGTTGAAAGTCTATAGGTGGAGTGACCACTCCCTCCCATCCCCTCTCCAACACAGCCAGGACGGTTGTCTCTCTGTGCAAAAGACTGAATATGTTTTCTGAAAGGGCACTCCAGATGTGGAGACACCAGACACAGAGTAGAGAATGAAATATGAGGCTGAAGACAGAAGTTAAGTTCCCTTCTCCACGTCCTATTTCCAGATTGAAATCACCCATGCTGTACTCTCCAGATAGGAAATCAGAGAATAAGTCTTTTGAGAAATTCATTGACCTCCAGAGAAAAGCCCTACTCACTTATAGAGGGTATCCCAACCAAAAGACTTGTTTCACTAAGCAGTCACCCAAGAGTGGAGCCCTCAAATCGTCTAACTCTGTGCCCTCCCCACACAGACACTGTTTCTAATCAATTGTAGTGTTTCCCTCATCGTGTGACTAGATACTAGACCATCACTGATCCAAGACATTAAAGGAAAATCTCTAAAAAGATAGAACCCAAAATAAGAGAAATTAAAAAGGACATGGGGCCGGGGATTTAGCTCAGTGGTTTCGCCGCCTGCTGCGCAAGCACAAGGACCCGTGTTTGATCCCCGGTACCCAAAAAGTAAAAAATAAAAAGGACACTAGGCTGGAGATACAGTTCAGTGGTAGAACCCTTGCCCAGCATATATGAGACCTAGGTTCAGTCCCAGGACTAAAAAGGGGTAAGAGGTGGGGGAAGTAGAAACAGATACAAGAAATAAGAAAGCTTCCAAGTATTGCAACCAAAAAAATAAAAACAAAGGGCTGCAGATAAAGCTTGAATGAGGCCAAATACCACAGGAAAAAAAATTCTATGAAAAAAAGAATAATTGGGAAAAAAACCAGAATTGCTGAGTCAAAATTTTAAATTTCAGTAGATGATATCTTGTCAAAGCTAAGAGTGGCTGTGAGTGATGCCACATATCTGTTGTCTCAGACTGAGGTGGGGAGAATCACGTGAGCCCAGGAGTTCAAGACTAGAACCCATCTTATTAGAGATCCAGAAAAAGAGACCAGAAAGGAGAAAAAGTATTGAAGAAAGAAGATTAAGTATTTCCTAGACATAAAGGATATGAATCTCTAAACTGAAAGGAATACCATATTCTTAGCACATGAATAAAGAGATACATGTTGCCTTGAAATTCAGAATACTAGTGTTATGGCTTGTGTCTAGATGTCCTCCAGAAGCCTCATACGCTGCCTGCCTTGCAAGTGCAAGGTCCCGAGTTCGATCTCCGGTACCCAAGAAAAAAGCAGTCATAGGTGATAGGTGGAGCTTTTTCAGAGGTGGCTGAATCTAGAGTGTGTAACTGATCCATGGTGCAATGGCAGGATTAAGGGTGGGTGATTACTAAATCAATCCACTGATTGGTTTGGCACTGCCCTAATCCTGGTAGCTTGGATACGATATAAGGAGCAGAAAGAGGCTTGTCTTGTCCCTTGCTTGCTTTGCTACCTTCTGCCCACCATGAACTCTTCCTCTGATGCCTGTCTGCCATGTCAGCCTACTTTGGAGCCAGCCGATTATGGACTGAAACCTCTACAAACTGAGCTAAATAGAAATTTTTTTTTTGTTACTCGGGATCGAACTCAGGACCTTGCACTGGAACCACTGAGCTGAATCCCCGGCCCCCAAACTGAGCTAATTAAACCTTTCCCCCTTTAACTTTGGATGTCAGGCATTTTATCTCACCAACAAGAGAAAAGTAACTAAGACAACCAGTGATAAAGACGTAATTCCAAGTGGTCCAGAAAAGAGGGGGAAATACATATAAAAGATTAAGAATCACAGGGGTATTTTCCTATTTAATAGTGCCTAGAAACTAGAAAGCAGTTACTATTGAAGCCCCATAATCCTGAGGCAGAATGAGTTTCATCTTCTAGCAACTTCTAGTTCTCTCTGCATAGCAAAACTAAATCTATTGCAAAGGTAAAATAAAGACATTTCCAGACCTGCAAATTTATTTCCTATATACCCTTTCTTAAGTTACTGGATTTACAAAACTAAAACAACAGATTGTAGAGCTAATATAAATAGGCCATAAATAGAAATTCCAAGATGTTAGCTGCACATCAGAAAGTAACAAGTTCCAAATGGAGAAAAGGGAAGTCTTATGGATAAAGTAGGTTATCTGCTAGATAGACAACATTTAGAAAGCATTCAGGATAAGTACAGGGCCAGGGGATGTAGCTCAGTGGTAAGAGTGTTTGCCTAGCATTCACAAGGTATCCTGGGTTCAGTACCCCCAGTACTGCAAGAGCAAAGCAAACTTTTACATTGGGCTGGGAATGTCACTCAGTAGCAAAGCATTTGCCTGAGTTCAATCCCCAGCACTAAATAAATAAATAAATAAATAAATAAATAAATAAATAAATAAATGCAAACAAGACTGGCTTCTTTGAAAAGAGAATCACTAACTAGAATAAAAAAAAGTTTCACAGGTAAAGAAGCACTCAGGTTGGTTCTACAGGGATAAAACTTACCCAGTCACATACTGTAAACACTGCTTATATATTATATGTTTAAATACATATTGTGATATACTTAAACTGAAAGGACAAGGCAAGTAGTGAAGCATGGTGCAAAAGAACTGAATTTTGGCTGGGCATGGTGGCACACGTGTAATCCCAACACTCGGGAGGCTGAGGCAGGAGAATCCCCATAAGTTCGAGGCCAGCATAGGCTCCATAGTGAGTTCAAAGCTTGCTTCAACTACATAGTGAGACCCTGTCTAAAAAAAAAAACTGAATTTTTATCTAAATAGAAATTTATTATATCTAAAAATGCCTAAAATTGGTAAATCATTAGCCAGTAGCATAAGGTAATTATTGAGCAGAGTTCAAACTTGTTAAATATGAACAGGTGGTTGCCAGTTTATGTTGAAAATCTTTTTTAGTACACTGCATATGTATAATCTTTTTTCAAAATGTAATTACCCACAATCATTAGTAAGTAGCAGAACTAGTTTCAACATCCAGAGTTGGTGTGTTTTCAAAGGCCATGCTTTTGTTAATGTGTACTACATTGATGTAATGTTTATAACTTAGTGTAGTAATAACACTATAATTTGTAACATATAATTTCCTTTTTCACCTTCAAAAATGAGTCTGAGGGCTGGAGATTTAGCTCAGTGGTGCCGCCGCCTGCCTCTCAAGCTCAAGGTCCTGAGTTTGATCCCCAGTACCAAAAAAAAAAAAAAAATGAGTCTGATACACATATTATTTTTTTTGATACACATATTATTTAAAATTAATTAATATTAATTTTAGGTACCTAAATTTTAGGTTAGGTACCTAAAACTTTGCCCATGAACTTCTCTAAGAAATAATTTGTCTTATAAGAATATGTTGCTTAAAAGGGACAATTGTTTTCCCCCTGTTGATATTTTACAATTCATATTTTTACCTTTTTAATGTTGATTATTCATGCCTACCAATAATTTTAAGGTTATAACTTGAATGCTTTGGGCCTTCTCCAGATGTTCCAGTTGAAATAATGTGAATGCGTAAGAGTTAAGAAATTTAAATGTTAATCAGAAGAAAATGAGCACCAGATTAACACTTTATCTTGTAAATTTTAAAATTCATTGGGGAAATAGTGGAGCTGGCCTATACATGACATAGATGCATAGCCCTTTTTTATGCTAAGGATTGAACTGAGGGCTTAGTGGATGCTAGCAGGTGCTGTACCACTGAGCTGTCTCTCAGCCCCACATCAACTTATCTTTTAACTAACATTATGGGGCCGGGGATTGAGCTCAGTGGTTCCAGCGCCTGACACACAAGCACAAGGTCCCGAGTTCGATCCCTGGTACCAAAAAAAAAAAAAAAACATTATGACCCCACCAAAGCTGCTTGGAGATAATATCATTGGTGTCCTACCTCTTAACGGTTTTCTTCATCCAAGAATTTGTACACGTATAATTCAGAACACTGAAATATACTGATTCTTTCCTGACACAAAGTTTTCTGAAGTTGTGAATTTAAATTAAGCTCTACTACAACACATGTGTGACTGCTTTTTTATCTCTCTGAAAAACAGTTTGAGCGTAGTGCCTTATCTTCTTCAATGGCACTGTGCTTTGTCTTGGTTGTCACTATTAAATGCAGTAGTTCCCAAATGCTGTGCTGGTCCTATCTGTCTGCATATAAAACACAGGGGAGCTTGATCATAATACAGATTCTTGAGCTCCCAAGTATGGCTTAGCAGGTCTGGGTAAGTTTGCCTGTCCAGGTATCTTTAATGCACAAACTCCCCATGTGGCTCGGGTAGACAAAATGGGTTTAGCAATCATTGATTCAATGTGTTTTCAATAACAGAAAAGGAAAAACAGTCTTGAACTGGGGCAGGGATTTAGGTCAGTGGTTTCACTGCCTGCCTTGCAAGTGCAAGGGCCCGAGTTCGATCCCCGGTACCAAAAAAAAAGTTTTGAATTGCAAATATTAGAATAGAGAAAAGAAAGATTCTACATATCAGATTGCAGGACTTGAGCTGTTTTGGGTTTTTGTAGGCTGAGATCACTATGGAAGCAACTTAGCCCTGGGGCCAGGTGAAAGTCTTAAGACTGCTTTCTTTGTGCCAGGCTTTTCTTCCCAAAGAATAGTTTTGTCTCTTTGTTTTGTTTTTTTTTTTACAGGTGGAGAATTATTTAATATTTTTTCAAATCTGAAAGGCAAAGCTATGATATCTTGGGATGGCTTGGGAAGAGGGAAGAAATAAGAGAATAATGGAGTATTGTTTCGGGGGAGGGAGTTTAAGAGTTCAAAGTTTGAGATATCAAAATATAGTACAAAGTATTTTCTCATAAGGCAAACATAACCTTTTGTTATTTTTTAAAAATGTAATTGCAGATATTCCTGAAGTTCATATAGCATATGGTACTATTGGCCTTTGTAGACCAACATAATTATCATTCATTGTTGTAGATAGTTCATAGTCCTGAGAAAGGATCCTGACATTCAACACAGAGTAATTATTCTATAACCATAGGCCTTTTGCTAAAGGAGAAAAAAAAAAGTCAAAAGGGGCTAACAAGAAAGGGTCTTAAATTTCATGCCTCTGATTTTACTGAGAGAAATTATTTGTGGTTTTTAACAGCTAATATAATGCCTTCATCACCTCGTCTCTTTGGCTCAGTTCCGTGGGGTCCACCATTGCCAGTTCCTGGAAAGCCCTTCCATCAGACTCTGTACCCTGGGGCTGTGCCCACAGCTGGAGGAATAATGCCAGGTGGTGCGCACAATCAGTTCATACCTTTGCAGGTGAGACCTAGAAAGAAAATTGTTCCTTTAATTTTTTTGTTTTTTTCTGGTACTAGGGAAAGGCAGGCACGGTGCCACTGAGCTAAATCCCCAGCTGGAGAGAAATGTTTCTTGAAAGTTGAAAACCTGTTGATAAAATTGTGTTCATTTGGTCAGGTGGGGTGGCAAAAACCTGTAATCCAATCTACTCGGAAGGCTAAGGCAAGAAACCTCAAGTTTGGGGCCAGCCTGAGCACCATAGCCAGATCCTATCTCAGAGTACAGAATAAAATTAGGGGCTGGAGATGTATCTTAGTGTGAGGCCCTGGATTCAACCCCCAGTACTGAAAAAAGAAAAAAGAATTTATTTATTCAGTTTACTTATTCAGTACCTACTAGAAATCTACTACTTGTGTAGGAATGGTGACACATCTGACCTGGTTCCTGCTGTCTGAGTTTGTATTCTAATGAATAATAATTGTTATGACAAGTAATAATATGCTATTCTAACAGAAAGTGATTGAATTACAGGAATATAAAATTTTAATATTTAATTTACGGATAACTTTTCAGTATTTCACTGCAACAAAATTCTTTGAATTATTAATCTGGTTTGGAGATTATAAATGGAAGTCACAAATCAGCAGTGATTAACAAATCCTGCGAGGCATAGTGGCATCACTTGTAATCCCAGCAAGCACTTGGGAGACTGAGACAGGAGGATTGACGTGAGTTCAAGGCCAGCCCAGGCTACACAGTGAGTTGAAGACCAGCCTGCACTACAAAGCAAGACCCTGTCTCAACAAAACCCAAAAAAGTCCTTATGGGTTGTTGTTGTTGGAGGAGGGGAGTGTTTGAGATAGGGTCTTGCTTTTGGTGGCATGTGCCTTCACACATGGCTACTGTTTTCTGACACTAGCTTTACTTCTTTTTGTTTGTTTGTTTTGGTACTGGGGATCGAACTCAGGTCCTTGTGCTTGTGAGGCAGGCGGTGGAACCACTGAGCTAAATCCCCAGCTCCAGCTTCACTTCTTTTACCACACTGTTAATGATGCTTTTTCCTTAAAGGTCATGAAAAAAAGAGTTGCAAACAAAAAGAACTTTGAGAATAAAGAAACCCAGAGCTCTTCTCAAGCCACCCCAACACAGACTAGCAAGCCAGGGTCTTCTGATATTGCCAAAGTGACTGCACAGGAAAGTTCATCAGCCCCTTTGAACTCCTCTCAGGTTGCTCAGGCTGCATCTTCTTTTCAAGGTGAAACTGCCTCCCACGGCAGCCATAATGCACCTCACCAGAAGGCAGCACCAAGCTCTTCTTCAAGAAGAAGATCAAGGAAACTGGCTGTCAATTTTGGCGTTTCTAAACCTTCTGAATAAATTTGGAACTTGGGAATTAATTTCTTTTCTTCCCATCTGCCTTTTTATAAATCCATATCTATGTCTCTTAGAAAGTTATCACACTTTTTTAAAAGTAGGAAACCACAGTCTTTATATGGAGCTGCTTATGTACTATTTTTAAATAATATGTTTAAATTGAATATTTGTAATTTTTAAGTTGTAAGGCACTTTTCATGCTATTTAAGACTGTATCAAATTGTGCACTTTAAATATGTGCAGTTTGTTGTATGTCAATTATACCTCAATAAAGCTGTAAAAAAGGAAAAGAAAAATGACTAAACCAAACCTTGTGTTAAAATGAGTGTCAGTGGGCTGAGCATTAAAATGTGCCACTCTAACCATTGGCCTCCTCATTAGAAGCATCCTTGAAATATGAATTAGACATCATGTTAGCAATAATTATAAACATATTTATGCTGTCATTGAGGGATAATTGGAGCATGAAAATTGGGCCTCAAATATAATTTACTGGATGTGGATTTATTTTTCTTAAAAATTATCAAATGAATGGCTCTTATTTATGTCTGTTGTGATTCATGTTCTGTTATCTCTGAGGGTCCTTTAGACCTGCTGTGAAGTGATCACTCTGGTTGTGGTGCTGCCAGTTTCATTTTATTCTACATTTTGTACCAAAGCAACTTTAGAATACTGATCAGAATACTTCATCCAATTACTCAGAACTATAAATAGCAATCTAGATTTGAGTAATTACAATTTTTTCAATTATTGAAGAACCGGCATTAGTAATTCCTAATAAAATTGTTTCAAAATCTACAGGGTACAAATTAATCTTCTAGTAGAATAAATATTAGTCATGTTGTTCATTAAAAGAAATTGTTATTCTTTTGTATAGCTTTTTATTTGCCTACTTAACATATGTGAGAGCTCATTTTTGGTCCATGTGTAGTGCTCGCTAGAACTGATGTAGTTCTAAACGTTTTTAATTCCAAGGTGTGCTATAATACAATCATCAGTTTGTGATGTACATTATTTACTGCCTGTCTTGTTCTGTATTTTAGCTTTATGCTGAACTATTCAGTGATGCTGGCATTTTGTCTTGCACGTCATGTGTGGATGTGTGTTGTTAAAACTATTGAAATTATAGAATTTAAGACAATTTCTCAGTGGTACCAGGGTGTGTGTGTGTGTGTGTGTGTGTGTGTGTGTGTGTGTGTAACCTTTTAGTTTTTATGATATGCTTAGTTTTTGAGGAAGAAAGTTATATTTTATGCAAAGTGGGAACCATAGTCTTCATATGGAGCTGCTTATTATCATATCTGATTTCATTTAGCTCATTGAAAACTGCAGTGATTCTTAAAATCAACTCTGTTTTTTAAAATACTGGCAGTATACTAAATGAACTTCTTTCTCTGATGATTTTAGTTTCTCTAAATGTTAGCAGGATATTTATATATTAGTAGTCCCTTTAGCATATGAGAATAATGATCTTTATCTGTTATTTACTATAGTCACTTTTTGAGATTTTGGTTTTTTCCTAGTAATTTCCCAGGTTCAGATGTTTGTCAGTTTTCAGCATTTCATTCTCTTTTTCTGTAGTGGGGTCTTGAGGAATGAGGCTCAAGTATGTAATTCTCAGTGTTCATTGTCTCACAAACTGTGTTAAAAGGAAACATTTACTGTGAGCATCAAGAGTTAAATTGTGACAATAATGTTATGTTAACCTCTTGCTCCTTTAAAGTATGTAATCCAATATTTATCACTTCAGCTAGCTACAAACTCCAGCGTACAAGAACTGCCTCACTCGTCACACCTCTGTGACTGCCTTTTTTTTTTTTTGGTGCCAGGGATTGAACTTGGGACCTTGCACTTGCGAGACAGGTGCCAGAACCACTGAGCTAAATCCCTGGCCCCTCTGTGACTGCTTTATCAACAATGTACAGCCCATATTTGAGAGCGCATGCCATCTTCTGAAACAGCAGAGAAATTTTAGTAAAAACAGTGCTATTAAACCCATCAGGATACTTCTCCAATATTTGAGTAGAGCAAGCTAATAATTCTACGTGGATAATAAAAGAGCTTTACAGACTTTTTTTAAATATTCTAAAGGTCAAACTTAAAGAGAGATTAAAATATGAAAGAGCTCTACAATGGCTGACAGTGGTCAGGTATTCACTATTCTCTTCCCCTTAGGGCCTATTGCAGATGTGGGGTGATAGCAATGAGGTGCAGCAGGGGCCATTTTTACTGTGTCATGGTACTGAGGAGACTGGAGCCGTTGATGGTCATGCTGGGGGTGTCTAGTGCAGCTCAGAAAAACAACTGGACTTTGGGAAACTTAGTCTTTCCTTTTTAGATGGGACAGATTGAGACTACCACCAAAGTTTAAAAAGATGCTCGTTCAACTTGAATCTGATGGGTTTTTTAAATGATGGACTATATCAGACACAGAAGAGGTAGAGTCTCCAAATTGCTTCATGTTTCCACATAACTAGAGTACTTGAATCTGTTTAAACATTTCTCTCCCTACTGAAACATTACTTCTAAATAATCTTGTTCAAAAAGTCTTTTTAAGAAAATTACATGAATTCTAGAGATAGATTCTTCCTGTCTCACTGTTCCTTTGTACAATTTCCTGCATTACCTCGGTTTTATAATTTGATCTAAACATCATGTAGAATAAACTCTTACATCTAAGACTGAGCTGCATGAAAAATTAAATTCACTTCTATTGAAAATTTTCTTGCCTTTCCATGAAAGATTGGAGCGAGCTTCTCTTCTTTCTTTTTCTTTCTTTCTTTCTTTCTTTCTTTCTTTCATTCTTCTTTCTTCCTTTCTTTTCTTTCTTTCTCTTGATGGGAACGATGAAGAACTATTGATGCAACTTTTTTGTTGCTTAATTCCTTTTCTGTAATCAAGTATTTGCTTTGGTTTTAGGCTAATCTAGATTCTTAGTTTTGAGAAAAGATTTGTTAGGAAGAGATGATTGTGAATGGTATTTTTAAAAAAATCACAAGCCAGGTGTGGTGGTACACACTTGTAATCCCAGCACTTGGGAGGCTGAGGCAGGAGGATAGTGAATTTGAGACCAGCCTCGGGGCCATAGGGAGTTCAAGCCATCCTGGACCGTGTACCAAGACTCTGTTTCAAGAAACAAAACCACAGTAGTTGTCATTTTTCTAGAGATGCTCATAGTATGCCAACTGGCATTGTTCCATATGTACATGTTATAAGCTTTTTTCAGTGAGACAGCCTTTTTTGCAGGCACTTCCTTTATTAATCAGTATAAAGTTTAAAATTCTCGAACTGTTTTCAGACTGACTTAATTCCCATTTCCAACAAAATTCTCTATCTTCTGCCAGGGAACAACAACAGTAAGAGATAGATGAAACAGATAGCACCAGGTCTCCAGCAACAGCCAACAGGCAGGCCCTAGATTTCGTTGTTAGTGTCCTGAGGTAACAACTCAGACATCACAGATCCTTCATTCAGAAAGCAAAGAAAAATGCATAAGATGGTTTTACTAGTCAAAAATATCGACAATCCATATCTGCTTTTGTGTTGTGTATGTGTGTGCGTGTGTCAGTGAACAATAATAATGCCTTGCTCAGTCAGTGCATTCAGCTATCTCAAGTGCAATTTGTGAAGGAGACTGTGGTTTCCAATGATACATTTTTTTTACATAAACCTGTAAAAATTATTTTTTTCCAGCAGTATACTACTTGATGCTATTGATTATTTCAGCATTGGTATATTATTAACTTACCCAGGCCAAATAATTAAGTTTCTGTAGCTGTTTTAGTAATTTGAAGGCAAATTCTCATGCTCTTTCTCATGAATTGACAAGAATGAGCATTTGGTCCACAGTTTGCTTTAAGTTCTTTTATTCCTTTTCACTACAATTAGGGGTTTTTGTGTTTGTGCTTTTTTGGATTTTCTTGTGGGTTTTGGGTTTTTTGCAGGGTTTTTTTGTTTGTTTTCATTTTGGCCTCAAGTATCATTTCCTTTTGCTTGCATCAGATTGCTTGAGTGTTTTCATCTATTTTGATACATGCGTAATAGATTGTGTGCTGTGTCAGCAGTGTCCAATATTCTATTCATTTAAACAATATAATTAAGTATAATTCATGTACATCTTAATTCTTTTTTTTCTCAAGTATTTTATAAGTAACTGGAATTTTTCATTAGATCTTATACAGAGCAGTATTTTATTAAAAATTCAAAAGGGAAGACTTATGTGTTCATTTTGTAGTTTTTCTGTTTTTAAAATAATCTTTACGTGGTCTGCCAATTAAAGTTTTAAATGCAGTGGAATGGACTGAATGTATTTTTGTGTTGTATATTTGTAAATTTCCATCATGAAGTTAGCCTCAAAATCCTGTGCAAAGGGATTTTAAAATGAGTCACTGAAAGAATTTAAGCATATATTAAATACTCTATGAATTTTAATTAAAGATTTAAGAATATTTCGTAAGCTGGTTGTTCTTTCATGATTGCATTAATAACAAAAGTAGAAAAGTTATCACTTTGACATAAACCAATATTCATTTATAGCTCTTGATGCTACATGTAGTAAGTTGAAACAGCATTGTAGATTAAAAACGCTATGATTCAGATCCTAGTTCTACCTCATATGTGTAAATAAATCATTATCCTAATATTGGCATGTTACGTAAGGTGTAAGCCTCAGATTCTTAATCTCCTAAAGGGAGAAAACAGTAGCCCTTCTTGTTTGTATGTATAAAGCACTAGATATAGAGTAGTTCTGTATAAGTTTTAGTACTAATAAGGACTTATCACCTACATACTCTGATCTATTAGCTGGGTCCCAAACACACCTAGAGTTCTCTGGATGATGCCAAATATTTCTGCTGTATTCAGTGTTCAGTAGTCAGTTTATACAAAATTCCCATAATTCACTAAAGACAGCCAGGAAACTTTTTTTTCTCTGATGCAGAGGAAGATTGTTACAGAGCCATGGAAGAAGAGGGTTTAATTCCTATTAAGATTGGAGAATCTGCCAGGCGTGGTGGCATATGCCTGTAATCCCAGTACTTGGGAAGCTGAGGTCCATTATCCCAAATTCAAGGGCAACCTATGCTTCGAGGTCTGAACTACACAGCAAGACCTTGTCTCAAAAAACAAAACAGGGCTGGGGATTTAGCTCAGTGGTGCCCCTGCCTGCCTCGAAAGCACGAGGTCCTGAGTTTGATCCCTGGTACCAAAAAAAAAAAAAAAAGAAACAACTATAAAGGTCAGAGTGGTGATTGTCCATCATAGTACAGTTATGACCCAGCAGACCCAGAACTCTAATCTGGGTATTGAGATATCTCTTTTGAATAATGTATGCAACATATCTATGCTTTTAATCCTTTATGACAAATAGCAAGTACCGTATAAACATTTGATCTGAACCAGGGGTGGGGATGTGGCTCAGTGGTGCTGCATCTGCCTGGCAAGTGCAAGGTCCTGAGTTTGATCCCTGGGACCAGAAAAAGGGGGGGTAGAATTGTGTTCGCAGCTGCCGCCGCGCCGCCGTCGCTCTCCAACTCCAGCGCCGCCTCTAGCTCCCCGAGCTCCAGCCGGAGAAGGGGGTAAGGAGGTCCCTGTACCATGGCTCGTACAAAGCAGACTGCCCGCAAATCCACTGGTGGTAAAGCGCCCAGGAAACAACTGGCTACAAAAGCCACTCGCAAGAGTGTGCCCTCTACTGGAGGGGTGAAAAAAC